CAAATATTAGTAACAAGCCTTGAACTCTTCTATGTGAATCTGAAGCACTGAAACTATCCAGCAAGTACTTAACCAAGTTTAGGGTAACATTCATTAAGTTGTAAATATGAATATGGACTTGTAATGGTAACAGTGACCACTAAGGGACACTGTCAACACTGTTGCAGCTGCTGATGAACTTACTGAGTATCCTGGCAAAGCCAAAGTCGCAGAGTTTGATGACTTGATGCTTGGTGATGAGAATATTCTCCGGCTTGACGTCTCTGTGGATGCACTGCAGAGACAGTACAGTAGAGTTACACCACTCTATGAACTTAACCACATGCTTTCTGATGGGAGTAGAAAGAGATTGTAGACTTCAAGCCACATTGTTATACGGGGGCCGTTCTAGCGTTTGTTGTGTCTTGGTGATACATTAACTGCTGGTCAGCCACGGGAAAGGAATTCTTGTAAAAAAAAAAAGAGCCATAAAGCAGAGTGTTTGTTGGGTGGTGGAGGAGGGAGGAGGGTAGTAAGGAATTGAAAAACAAAGCAGAGGGGAAGGTTTGACAACTGGGAAATACGCTACGTGAGGAGTCAGGTGGGAGAAGCGAGCGTGACGTCACTTACATTCTGTTTGTGGCAGAAGTTGACGGCCTGAAGCGTCTGCCAGGTTATACTTTTAACAAGATGCTCTGGGACGCTGTAGGACAAGGAGGAAATCAGTTAACTGATAGACAGAAACTTATTCGAGCTTGAAGGGTATTTGTTGATCTTGGAAAAGATTCTTAGAACAAAATGGGGTTAACTGGAAAATTTCCAAATACGTGATGACATTGTCAGAGACTGAGCTTGGAGCTTCACGCTTGCCTGCCTTTCTTAATGTAAGGCCTTTTATTGGAGGGAACAAGCTTCCTGATACACTATCAACAAGCCCAAGTGATGCCAAAAAAACAGACATTAAGATTTCTGCCATGTTTACTAGATTTAGTATTTATATTGTTTATATTTTGTATCGTTATATTGTTTTGGGTCTGTGTGGTGGTGAACAAAAATATAAAACCCCTGGTTTGGTAAAAAAAAAAGAGTCTGGGATCAGTAAAATCTGTAAGATGCATGCTCTGGGGGTCATCAATGTCTGTGCAAAACTTTCAGTGTGGTCCGTAAAGTCATTGATGAGGTGGGGTGTGAAGGTGGTTGACCAGGGGTGCCCAATCCCAGTCCATGCATCTCTACTCCAACACAGCGGAATCAAATGGTTTGATTACCTCTTCAGCATGCCATCAAGTTTGGCAAAGGCCTGATAACAAGCCATTCATTTGATTCAGGTGTGTCGGAACAAGGTGCATCTAAAAGCTGCAGGACAGTAGCTCTCAAGGACTGGGATTGGGCACCCCTGTGGTAGACTGACCAGCAAACAGACAACCCTGGAGTGGTGCTGCTAAAGAGGCCAGTCATACAGTATATGGATAAAAGGCTACCTACACTTTATGCCTACGGGAGCTGCTGGGTCATGGAAACCCATGTCACGAAGCTCCCGGCACACAGCTTTTGTGCTGATGTTAATGCCACAGAAGGTTTGGAGCTTTGCAGTTAGTGAATAAGAAGAATGTTAGCATCCTTCATGCATTCAGCGACACTCCTCTGTAACGTTGCGTGATCTGACACTTTGCAGCCGAGTTGCTGTGGATTCCAAGCACTTTGTGGAATCTTGGAATATCTACGAGGAAAGAAATTTCACAAACTGACTTGCTTTTTGTACCCGATGAAGGTCAGTAAGACCATAATGTTGTGATTTGATAAAATAATGGTTTGTGAGACAGTTTTGGGAGGAGCTTGGAATAGAAGTCGCGTAGCTCGTCACGGTTCATTAAGCAAAACACAAAAAAATACATTTGTTCTGTTTTCTGCTCTGTTTTGTTTCATTTCTAGTTTTCTTTTGCCGCTCTGTGGCTGAAGATGACAGTCAGTAATGGCCAGCCATTTCTTTCTTGAGGCACAATGTTCAACAACTGAGGCTTTATTGGTCAAGGGGCCGCTATCTACCAGTGTTGCTGGGGAAATGGCTAATTCGAGCCTTGTGACTGGCGATTTATAACAATCTCAGCCCCTTTCTATCTATTTTGTTGTCTCTTCTTTTGAACCCGTCTGTGGCCTGAAGGCTATAGGCCAGGACTAGAGGAGGGCGGGGGGACTGGAGAGCCAAAACACTCCCTATAAAATGTGGCTCCCTTCCAGCAAAGCATTCTGGGAGGGCATCACTGTAAGCATACCACAGAAAGCCAGTCAGTCTCCCAGGAGATGAGCGTTGTGCCCATCAGAGCTGGACAAAGCGGCATACATGCTATATAAATGAAGTTTGGAGATAGCCGAAAGCCAGGTGTTTGCAATGCTGTTCTTTAAACATGTGCAGTTACAAAGCAACTACCAAGTAAATGCATGCATCTCTTTCTTTCAGGGAGGTTTTGTGGGGAGACACACCCACCCTCTGGGATGGCGGTCCAGCTCGTTGAGGACGGTGTGATCGCAGTACTCGAAGACCAGGTGAAGCTTCCGTTTGCGTCGAAACACTTCGATCAGATTCACCAGGTTGGAGTGTTTCAGTTGCTGCACAGACAGAAAACAGAAATCCCAAACAGACATTACAAGCAGAATCTGCTGCACAGAGGAGTGGCTCATCAGTCTCTGTCTGTATCTCAAACACACTAAACTGTTAAGAGAGGGTAATAAACATGCTGTTGCCCCTGACAACCTGTCCTATTTACGAGCTCCTGATGTCCAGCAGGCCTCCAGCGCTCCCACCCACTGCATGACTAATTAAACCACCAACAAACGCATCGGTACATCTTTGATAAATATGTACATCGTTAACAAAACACATGACTTGACCACAACTGAGCCTAAGCTTCCAATTTACAGCCTAAGAAAGATATTCAACTCGTGCCAGAGGCTTTTTTAAAAGATAACTCAATGTTCACAGACATTTCACACTGCAACTGAAATACTGGAGTCAGCTCTGACCCTGCAGGGTTTTGCCTTCATTTGATTACAGCCCTCTAAACCTTTTCTCAAGTTTGCTGGTTTGAAAGCGAAGTGTTTCCCCTCTGTCGGCAGAATTAATTGCACCGTGTCCCTCCCGCTGCCTGCACAGGAGGAGGAATGCTTTACATTTCCTTGCATTAAAAACAAGATTTAAATCCTTTAAAGACTGAGTTAAAGTTTCAAAACAACAGTTTGGCTGAGAGTTATGATAAAAACTTGATTTGTTAAGTAAAAAAATGTGAATGTTTTACGCTTCCTGCTAATAATTTTATCCTGATGAGTTTTTTATTTGATAAATGTAACTTCGTAAGTCATATATTTCGTTCTTAGTCACATAATTTTATCTTGCAACTCTGCATTAAGAAAACCAGTTTTGTAAAGCAGACTTTAGCATTACATGCCTCTTTTATTCATTTATCATTTTGATGTTTTTCTCTCGCAACTTCTGTACTAATTTGCAAGCTTCTGTCAGACAGGCTGCGTCTTTACCTTGAGCATCCTGATCTCCCTCAGTGCAATTTTTTTAATGATGGGATTATCCTCTGACTCGACAAACTTCTTGATGGCGACGATCTGGCCCGTGTCTTTGTTTCTGCACTTGAAGACGACTCCGTACGAGCCCTCTCCAATCTTCCCAATCTTCTCGTACTTCTCCATACTGAGGAGGAAGCAGTGCTCCTCTGAAAGGAGACAAAACAAAAACTTTACAAGCAGCAGTGGCAGCCTGAAAACAGACAAAGAGGAAAAGAAAGGAAGAAGGGGGCTTTACTTGATAATCTACTGCTTTTATGAATGGTTTACACAAGCCAAGCTGCAAAAATTAGCTTTTTTAAAAACAAACAAACATGCTTTTGCAGCAATAAAAAGTATGAGCAACTTTTGACCCGTCAAAAGCATGCCTGCATGCAAGCTCGTTTTACAGGGATGAAAATGTTAGGGTAACTTCCTAAATGGCCCTGCACAAAGAGGGAACGTTACACCCATCTCCCAGCAGATTGCGTAACAAAAACATTTGCAATGCAAAGTATATTCGGTCATTTCCCTGAGGGGGACACAAAGATAAGACTAATAACATGGTGAGGAGAATATCAAAGTGCTGCACTGAAAAATTTGAATGCATTTCAAAGGGGGAAATACCGCCTCTGATTAAAATATAACCTCTAAGTATAACACCTGATATTTATGATTAAAAGCTGTTATTATGGTCCAGATATCTGAATGAAAGGTGACTCCTGAAGTAAGCAAACATAATTTAATATTTATGAGAAAAGAAGTACAGAAATGTCCACTTGGAATGGCCACACATTATTACATCACTTGCTGACTTCATGTATACACACAAATGACATCTTAATTATTATCTTTTTGTGTGCATTTACATCCTGAGCCACAAATCGGGAGATTATCTTTAATTTATTTGCACCTCAGTCCTTCTGTGCAGCTCCGTGCAACCTACACAAATACTCTGCAGTGGATGGATGTAGTAGTGAGGGGCCTTTAGTGAGAATCATCTGCTTCTGAATGGGAATAAGATGATGACAGATATGATCAACTTCAGAAGAAAAAGGATGGCCACACTAGCTATATCTATCCTGGGACAGTAAGTTGATGTGGTGAAGGAGTGCAAGCACCTGGGAGCCCCATCATCAGACAGCAGACTGAACTAGAAGACCAACACAGAGGCTGTATTCAAGAAGGGTGTGAACAGGGTCTATTTCCTGAGGAAGATGAAGATCCTATTTATCAGTCAGTTGTAGCAAGCACAGCTACAGCTGACTGAATAATCTCATCAAAAGAGGCTGGCTCTGTGATTGGCTGCAAACTGGAAGCACCTTTGAAGCTGTGGTGGAGAGCAAGTCGCTGAACAAACTTCTATTGATCATGGATAACATGGATATTTTGATAGAGGCATCTGTCAGATAACATGATTGTTATTATCAACTATTCATCATTACTTCAACTGCTATAACAAAATAATTTCCCAAATAATGGATAAATACAGCACTTCCCATTTCATCTCTTTACACCTGCCTTCTGTAGTGCCTGGACACTGTATAATTTATTAGAAACAAAAACAAAACAAAACAAAATTGCTAAATTGATGCGTCGAGAAGGTGCAACTATTTTTTTTTTTTTAAATACCCATGCTACTTTATTTTAACATGGAAATAAAGTGTTTCTGTAAAGCCTATGGACGAATAATCCTGACCATTAAAGTAGAATAACCCAAAATAAATCACATTTATAAACTTACTGTCCGTAAAATGCTCGCAGATGTTTCTTTAGGAGGAAATCCAAATTCAGGAGGACCCTCTTCTTCCTCCAAACAACATCAGCCTGCGAGGTAGACGATCACAGAACAACTACTCCTGCAGCTCCAGCGAGCTCCTGTTTTTAATCCGTAAAGGTGGTTAAATGAAACCTACATCCGGTCGCGCTTTTCAAAATAAAGCGACCCAACTGTAACTGCATTTTTTTTCTTCATTTTTAATGCTGTCACTTCTTTAACATTATCATCATTAATATCCCTTGACTGTGCTTCACTTGCACACCTGTTAAAAATTAAGTATGAAAAGCATTTTATCTTAAAACAAACTCAAATCTTTAACTCCTATTTTGATGAATCAGCTGCGTGTTTAATTTTGGAAGTAAGATCACATGACTTCCGGTGCTGCCCACTGAATAAGTCTCCCTGAACAACAACTTAACACTTCTGCTTTTTTCCACCCTGGTGCCCATAGGAACCGCTGACTCCACCCCCCACCTCCAGAGGAAAAGGGAAAGCAGGACTCCTGTGGATTATCACACCTGAGAGAGTTACCTTTGTCAGGCTGTTTACCTACAAACGTCATTATCGTCATGCCTGACTCATTTCAGTCTAACAGGAGAGCTCAACCACTGACACATGGGAAACATTTTAGGGTTGTTTTCTCACACATCTGAGTCCATGTTTACCCGACCATCAAAAACCCTTAAACCACATCAGCCTGATATCATCCAGTACGTAACACTGAGCTGCAAATTTAGTCTGGTCTCACTGCGACCAATTAGCCCAGGGAGTCACATCAGACTGAAAGCAGAACGAAAAAAAGAGGAATAATGGAAACTAAAACTCACCATCACCTGCTCTCCCTAACAAGAGATTATCTCACGACACAAGAATAACCCACAGCTCGTTCTCATGTTAACAACAGCTTTTATTATAAAAACAGTACACATTAAGCAAAGGGAATGCAGAGATGTTAATAAAACCTAGCAGTCCCTCATTTTGTCTTTTTATTTTAAATAAAAATGTACAAAAGTGCTTACATGGTGCAAATAAT